ATATAAAAATTATCAATTTCAGATATTGCAATTAGCAATATCTTAGATATTAGTAACTTATTATATATATTTAACTTAGGAGTTTCTTCTGATGGAGTCAAGAAGAAATAGTAAGTACCTATGATGGCCAAATTCTAGATTAAACCCATCCTGCAAAAACTCAGCAGGACATAAACATGAAGACACCTTGTAACATAGTCTTAAAAAGATATTTTGAAACTGCTGGGGAAATTCATTTTACTCTGCCCAATATTTAAAGACTGGATGCAATGAGCAGGAAGGGCATGGCACCAGCATTCTGACCATGCTCTTGAGGGGCACCACAGGGGCTGAAGAAAGCACTTATGTTTTAGTAAATATGTGCTGAGGACACATCCCTGGGCTTTCTAAGAAACAGCTCAGCCCATCCCATGTTTGTTTTTCTACCTCTACTGTATCAAACAGCTTAGAAACGTGCAGCTGGACTAAAGGAATTTGTCTTGGTGGAGCTGAATGACATCCATTTGGAGCACACAGGCAAAGCAAGAGCAGCACGGCTATTTCCTGTGAATAAGACAAACGCTACTTCTACCTCGATGAGTCAGCCAAACCGGGGGGCAGAGTGTGAAAATGTGAGGGATCTATTCTTCTTGAAACAATGGAACTGGGGAGGGCTTCCAGCAGCCACCAGCACAGCTCTGGGAATTCCGTGCACTGCCTGCTCCAATCTCTCATCCCCTGGAACAGCAACATTCCCAGCAGTTCTGTGCCAGCAGGAGAAGGAAGGACAGCAGCCCAGCCTGGGCATCCCCAGGTGCAAAGTTCTGCCCAAAAGTTTTTGTCTTCACATGCACTGGATGTGCAGGTCACGAACCAGGAATTTGAGATTTCTCAGAACATGACACTACAACACGGGAAACCCCATAGAAAACACAACAATCTTACAAGTGTAAAAGAAAGTTGGAGATGCAACAGCCCTGACCTCACTGCAAAGCACCTGGGTCCTTCTACAGGCACAGGTGAACCAGACCTGTCTGAAGACCACACTGGGAAGGATGGGAGAGGATCAGATTAGCCCAAAAGGTGCCCAGAGGTGGCACAGCTGTGCTACAACCCAGGGAACCAGGCAGGACTGCTGAGCACCACAGTGGTCACCCCAGGGCCACCTTACTGAACTTCCTGCCAGGGCTGTACAGCTCGGACATTCTGACAGCCAGGGCTTGTCTCTCATGTGACATCCCATGACTACAACCAAGGAGCAGGAAAAATGGTCTGGCAGCAAATCCATCTCTCCCCATTCCTTGATCTGTCACATAAACCCCTGGCTGGTGCACATCTAAATGTGAAGAGAACCTGAAGAGAAATGTTTTCACCCATTTCCAGATCCTGAGTGGGGTGGGACTGATGTCACTCCTCTACCTCCTACCCATCCTTTTCCTTCAACCTCCTTTTTTTTGGCCCATGACCCTTCTCCATCACAGCTTCTCTAACTGCAACTATTTGTACCTAAGCTTCTCACTCAATGGCATGAAAACGAGACTCCTTTTGCTACTGTCCACGTCCTCCTGAACAGCTCTGGCACTACTGATGGATCTTGCTTTCACTCCACTGCTGGTTACAGGTAGGAGAGGTACCATGGTCACCAAAGGCTGCCTGGTCAGACCTGCAAACAGAAAAACTGGTCCCACCCGGAAACACACGCCTAACTCGGAATGTAAATCTGCACAAACCTGCCGTTGGCAGGTAAATTTCTATAAATACTCCTCTCCAAAAAATGACCAAACTTTGAGAAACCCAAGGATGCTCAGCACAGGAGCCCCAGGCAGCGTCCAAGGAGCGCATCAGCCCTGCTCCCACACAAAAGGAAGGCGCTGAAAGGGAGCTCTCTCTCCATTTTCCAGCCAGCGGGAAGGAGGTCGGTGCGGGGCCGGGGCAGCACCGGGAGCAGGGCCGGCTCGGCCGGGAAAGCGCCGTGCCGCCCATTGTGCGGCCGGAGGGGCTGCACAAAGCGCCCGGCCGGCCTTTGTTCGCGGGAGCGGAATTCCACAGCTCCTTTCCTTTCCTTTCCTTTCCTGTTCTCTCTCCCTCCCCCGCTCCCCGCGGGAGCTCCCCCGGGGGAGCGGCCCCGCGCTCGGCGCCCGCCGCGCCCGCTCCCGGCCCTTGGCGGCGGCCGCAGCCCCGCGGCCGCACCGGGCGGACCCTGCCCGGCGCCCCCGGAGGCCGGCGGGGCGCGGGGCCCGCGGGCCGCGCCGGGCCCGCCCGTCCCCAGGGCTCGGCAGCGGCGGAGCCCCCGCGGCCGGGCCCGCCCGCCCCCACCCGCGTTACCGCGGCAGCCCCCGGCCCGGCCGGCCCCGGTACCTGCTGATCTTCTGGGCGAAGGCGCGGCGCTCGGCCATGGCCGCGCTGCGGGCTCCGCGCTGCCGGCCCGGCCAGCGCTCGGCCGCCGTAATGCTCCGCCGAGCCGCGCACTTGAGCGGCGCAGCTCCCACCCCCGGCGCTCGCCGCGCCCGCCGCCTCCTCCCCTGCCCGCCAGGGGGCCGCTCCTCGCAGATATACGGCGGGGAGTGACCGCGGCCGGCCCGGTCCTGTCCCCATCCCTGCCCCTATTCCTGTCCGTGTCCTCGTACTCTGTCCCCATCCCTGTTCCTATTCGTGTCCCCATCCCCACCTCTATCCCTATCCGTGTCCCGGTCCCCTGTCCCCATCCCCACCTCTATCCCTGTCCGGGTCCGGGTCCCCTGTCCCCATCCCTGCCCCTGCCCCTATCCATGTCCGTGTCCCGGTCCCCTGTCCCCATCCCTGTCCCCTGTCCCTATCCATGTCCATGTCCTCGTACTCTGTCCCCATCCCTGCCCCTATCCCTATTCCAATCCGTGTCCCGGTCCCCTGTCCCCATCCCTATCCCCGTCCGTGTCCCCATCCCCACCTCTATCCCTATCCGTGTCCCGGTCCCCTGTCCCCATTCCTGCCCCTGCCCCTGTCCCTATCCATGTCCCCATCCCCGCCCCTATCCCTATCCATGTCTGTATCCCTGTACTCTGTCCCCATCCGTGCCCCTATCCCTATTCCAATCCGTGTCCCCGTCCCCTGTCCCCATCCCTGACCCTCTCCCTATCCCTGTCTGTATCCCCATCGCCTGTCCCCATCCCTACCCCATCCTTTCCCCTGTCCTCGTCCCGTCCTCTGTCACCATCCCCATCCCCAGGGTCCTGACCCCCACCGGCCTCGGGCTCCCCTTGCGGTGCCACTTTGTTCCCGTGTGAGAACAGAGAGCTGCTCCCCGGCCCTCGGTCCAAAACTGCTGCCACGCCGACCCTTGGCAGCAATCCCAGGATCAGTGAGGTTGGAAAAGCCCTCCCGGAACATCGAGTCCAAGCTGTGAGCGATCCCCACCTTGTCACCAGCCCAGAGCACTGAGTGCCACCTCCAGTCCTGCCTTGGACACCTCCAGGGCTGGGGACTCCAAACCTCCCTGGGCAGCCCCTGCCGATGTCTAATCACCCTTTCTGTAAAGAAATTCCTCCTGATGTCCAATCTAAACCCCCCTGGTGCAGTTTAAGACCTTGCCTGGGTGTCATGGCTCTGCAGGGCATGGCCAGGTCCCTTGGCCAGACAAAACGGGGCTCCCAGTCAATCCTGCCCCATATCATCCCATCTTTTCCTTCAAAAAGGCTAAAAATTATCCCTAACAATGATTCAGGAGATGGCTGGAAGACTGTATCACCCATTTTCCCATCCAAACATGCCATTACTACCAGTGTCTCCAAACTCACGATGGCTTGGGGTTATTGTAACGGGAAGAGGAGGTAGAAGGTGGGGAGTCATTAAAAAAAGCACTGTTTTGTGACTTCAAAAAAAGACCGAGCCCAGGACATGATCTAGCAGATAACACCAAGTCCTGCTACCCGACATATGCTGTGCACTAATCCAAACCAGGGAACTATTAATAGTCACCCAGGAAGTGTCCAAAAGCAGGAGTGTTAATTCCTCCCACTCCATCTGTTTGGGCTGTGTGAACATTTCCCTCACGTCGAGGACACCAACCCTTCCCCTGGCAGGAGCTGCTGATTTCCAGCTGTGTGTAACCCCTCTGCCTTGCTGTCTGTGTGTGTTTACACAGGCAGTGCCCCAACATCTGCAAATATCTCCGTGTCTGAGTGATCCCAGGGGATTTCATGCAGCCACCAAGTGAATCCCCTGTGGGTGAGACTGTGCCCCAGGACACAAAGGTGCTGTCATGTGTCACACACGTGCACACAGACAGAGACCCTGGGAAGCAAAGACCTATTGTAGGCACTGAGAAAGGGATGTTCTTGTAGACACTGAGAAAGGGATGTTCTTCTCCAAGGGGGAGGGGAGGAAATATCCCACAGACATCTGCCAAGACAAAAGACTTTTGCTCTGGGGTTGCTGCCTGCGTGTGGAATTGCACACCAGGGAAGGGCCTCACACAGTGTGGATGGGATAAGAGATTTGCCACCTTATATCCATAGAAATTGTGGCTGCCCCATCTCTGGAAGTGTCCAAGGCCAGGTTGGACAGGGCTTGGAGCACCCTGGGATAGCAGAAGGTGTCCCTGCCCATGGCAGGGGGATGGGACTGGATGAGCCTTCAGGTTCCTTCCAACCTAAACCAGTCTGGAATTCTGAGAAAAAAATTCCTATATCTGAGTGTGTGCCCACTAGAACAGACCAAAACATCAGGGACCACCAGCAAAGTTTCCTCTTCCCCCTTTTTCCTTCCCAAAATGGCACCGGTTTGGAATGCAATATCCCTGCCTAACCCAAACTCTGAGACCAAAACTGGGAATCCTGCAGCTCTGGAAGGGAAACTCTTCCTGCTGCCAGAGGGTGCAAAGAGCAGCCCAGCCCCTGACACACAGGGCACGGAGTATCCAAGGTCCACTGGAGACCTTTGGGACTTCAGGTTTCATTTTCTCCTCCTGTCAGTCATTACCTTGGCCAGGTTCTGGGGACTACTTGCTGAGTTTTGATGTCACTTTTTCTTTTCCTTGACTTTTTCTGTAGCTGAGAGCTGGGTCAGAGGAGCTCCAGCCATCCCATCTGGATATAAAATGGACCTCTATAAATACAGGCATATTATATACATAAATAATATAAATAATTTATACTATAGCATATTATATTACATTGTATTATATATACCAATAATATATTATTATATTATTATCCTCACATCAGGAGGGCATTGCATTGCAGAGAAATCAGTTTTCTCCATATAGTTGGGTTAAATGCAAGCAAAATCCCTCCATTAATAGTGAATTTCAGAAAAATAGATTCCTCATTACTTTCCAGATAGTGACCAGCAAAAGTCTACAATGTCTGCAAGTTCAAATAGTTAGAGATTACTAACATTGGTAGAAATGTACATGTGACCTTGCAAAAAACCCCAAGAGCTTCTGTAGGTTGCCCCTAAATTTTGCAGTGCATGCAGGATTAACCAAGAAAAGTCAAGGAAAAAGTGAATAAATAAGAGAGGAAAAAATATTGCAGTGTTTGACCATTATAAATCCAATAATGCCAAATAAAAAATTAATGTTAGCAACATTTGGGGGATTGATGTGGTGATGTCAGGGCGTTATTTTGGGTACTAAGGTGTGTGTTGCCTCTTACAGGCACAGTCACAATCCTTCTGCCTCCTGTTTTGTCATCTTAGAAGTGAATTAACTGAAGGAAATTCTTGGTCTGAAGAAACAAACAAGCTTTGCAAAGAAGAGAATGTGACCACCAGAGAAACCTCTTACATGGAATTACAGCTGCCCAAAAAATTCTTCTTCAGGAACCAGCAGATCCCTCTGATTCAGAAACAACAGTGGTGTGACAAAATTTTCCTGCAGCAGAAGATGGAACCATTTTCTTTTAAAACAAGAGGGAATTGTTTATTTTGCACAGAGTTTCTTGTGCCCATGTATTGTCCTCAAGGGTGTCTGGTATCTCAAAGTGAGGGTGAAGACTAATCAAGAGTGGAGGGGCTGTGTACATGCCATGAATACCTCCAGACAGCCCAAGTTAATTTAAATTAGTGTTTGAATAGAGGCTACCTAGTAACCAATGTAAAACCTGGAACTTTACCAGCATTGTGAGGATACTGAATAGTTACTCTTCTTTAACACACTGTAATTCTTCACCGTGTTTTAGGAAGCACAGAAGGAACCTGGCTCATTCCACACTGGATTCCAACAGAAGAACACATCAGCCTTTGGGAACATCCCTGCCTCCAAAAGGAGTCCAGACACAGGACCCTGATCCACTCTCACACTGAAAGGGGGAGAATGAAGCAGCATTTTAAGCAATTCACCAGGATACCTGTCCATGAACCACCAGCATCCTTCAAAGCATGTGACTAAAATGATTTTTTTTATAATTGAGAATGACTTTTACTGGGCTATAATCAAATTTGGTAAGTGCACCCTACCAACACAGATGTAACTCCTTCAGCCTGATAGAAATAATCTTACAAGATTAGGTCATGCACAGGAAAAATCCCTTTGGATCCCAGCCAGAAAACATTTGGACAAGTGAACTGATCCTTGGCTTGCCTGTTAGCAGATTATTTCCTGAGCCCAGGGCTTCCTTGTTCTTCTGACGTAAACTTCCTCAGGGCAGAGGCAGGGAAAACATTTTCCACGGAAAACGCGTCCAGAGTAATTCCATAAACAAAGCTGTAAATAGGGATTGCAAATTCAGGGAGCCACCTCCTGGCAGCACCCGGGAAGGGCCAAATAAATCTCTGCCTCTCTTGGCAAATCTTTAAATATAAAGAGCTGCACATCAGCGTGGCACAAACTGCACAAACACCATCTCCTCTGGACAGCTCTGGCAAGAGAGAACGTGCTGCTGTCCTCAGGCTGCCCAGTACCCAAATTCTGCTGGATCAATGAGAAACCAGGAGATGTAAGGAGGGAGGACTCTCCAAATTCCTGCAGCCTTCACTACATCCCTGACATCCCTGTTATTTCATTTATGGACCCACTGAACTGTACCAGGCTTTCCAGAGCCTTCTTCACATGCTGGTGTTTGATGGCAACTTCACTTCTGCTTCACTGTCTCCTGGCACATTTATTTTAAGATTTCTTCACTTCAAAAGGTGGGTTCAAGAAATTAAATCTTCCCGATAAGGACTCAAAGCCTTCCCAACAGAGCTTCCATTAATTCTTGCTCATGTTTACCATTTTTGTAGTTTATGTTTCTACCCCGAGCCCAGCTCTCAACCTTTCCCAGTTCAGCACCCTATAAATGGCATTAATATATTTTATTTCCTCTTGCCTAACGAGGATCTTACATTAAGGGTAGCCTGGGCAGAGACTCTTCCAAGTACCCTGCTGAATCTCCTCTTCCTTACCCTAACCCTGGGACCGAGAAAGGAAATCTGGATTTGGAGGGACTGAGTGGTACCAGCAGAAGTTTGCTGGCTAATTTGGGGGAGAACCACATCAGAGCAATCCAGCTCCTGTTGCCCCTTTCACCCTCACTGCTGCTTGAAAGGATGCACAAATTCACACAGTCTGAATTCCCATGCTTTCCCCTTTTCCTGTTCCAGAGTCTCTTTTTACCTGAGCAGCTACTCCCACAAAAACTGGAATTATTTAACAACTCTCAGGCTCTGCAAACTTGAATGGCAGAGAAGTTTCAAAACTTTCCAGAGGGAAACAGACCACAGATGGCTTACTTCCCTAGGAAATGAAACTAAAAATAAACGAGGAGAATTCCCTTCTCTCCAGCTACTTGACCCAAGGCCTGCTCTCCTCAGGCAACAATATTTGGGAAAGCACATTTGCCCAAATGTTTAATGAGCTTTTCTAAATATATTGCAGATTACTGATGGTGGAACAGTGGCAGGAACAGGAGCAGAAGCTTCATTCCCCACTGCCCAGTGTTCTCTTACCATTCTGCTGTGTTTAGAGGATAAATGTTGTGTATCTCCATAAATCAGAGTATCTCCTCTAATTTTTAATCTTGCCATTGCCACTTGGTGTTACCCACCTTGCTTACCTATTAAAAAATAAAGAAGAGACAAATGATATTTTGCAGGAACACAGATTTTCAAAATCTTATGACATTCACATGGAGCTCAGAGATGGTTTTATGCCATTAAAATGCTGAAAGTGTAAACTCTGTGACATTTGTTTTGAGTTTGTTGAACTCAGTTCCCTCCCACTCCCTCTGCAAGAAATAGGAATTGGTAGATGGGAAGAAAACTCTTTTACAGACAATTATTTATGGTTGCCTGAGTGATTATTTGGCAATCAAAGCTTTGGTTTTTTGTGGGAAAAAAAACCAAAAAACAGAAAATAAATGTCTTCCTTCTCACAGCCTGCCTGCCCAGGGGATTTATAGTGTATATCCAGGTGGTACCTTTTGTGGCCTATCAATTCAGGGCATGGTTATTAAATTTGAGAGCAGGAAGGTGCAGGAAGGGGAAGAGCCATTTCCTTTGATCAGCTGGATAATTCCTTGTACATTTAGGCAGATCCAAGCCCTGTCAGCTCCTCAGCTCTCCACCTTCCAGCCCCTACACAGACAGACAAGAACATCCATCTCTGTCTCAGGGAATAAAAGCAAAGATAAAACTTTAAACAACTATAATTCCTAAAACAGATCATGAAATTCTGGAGGCAGCAGGCCTCTTTCTTTGTGCACTGTCGTGGGGTCACAGTTTTATGAGTTTATGCAAACAGGGTTTTTATTTTTAAATCTTTTTTTCTTTATCCTGGGAGCAAAGGGCAAGCAGGGAACTGAGAGGCAGGGAAGGATTAGAAAGGTGATCTGCTACATCCCCACTTCAAGCCAACAGCAGACTTCTGAAACAAGATGTAGCCTGCACATTAAAACCTACAATCCTCTTTACTGATTGTAAAGTGAAATATATCCATGAGCCTGCAGAAAAAAAACCCCCAAAAACACCAAGAAATACACAAAGCATCTATTGTTGGCATTTGCACTGCAGCTAAATGTTAGATCATGTGCTGATTATAAAAAATTTAAGCCCAGCCTGATCATCTTTGACCAGCAGAAGGCAGTAAAATCACAAAATGGAAAAAAAACCCAAAAGCACGTGACTTTGCTCCATGAACCCAAAATTGGGCTGGTGAGTACCAGGAAAGCAGGAATATCACCCTTCTTAGGATGCTGAGCACTAATGCCAGTTCCAGACAGCTGAGAAATTCAACTCAATCCTCCACAAATCCTGAACGGTTTTTTTTTTAAGCTTGGCTCCCGATACAGCCAATGAGTATTTTTAAGCAGCTTAAGACAAACAGATTAATGAAGAACCTACTTTACAAAACACTTTTTAAAAAACCCTCAGAAGAGTGAGAGGAGATGCAGTGGTTTTGATGACTTTTAGAGAGGAAAAAAAATAGAGAATTGAGTCGGAGCACACTCAGCTGGGTATTTCGGCTTGCAATTGAAACCTTTCAGGGATTTGGGAGATATGAGGGGCATTTTGCTGTGGAGAAATCAAAAGCACGAGATTAAAATACAAAAGCAGAAACAAAGCAAAAAAAAAAAAAAAAAAACTAACAAAGGAAAAAAGCAAAAAAAAAAAAAAAAAAAAAAAAAAAAAAAAAAAACCCACAACCCCCAAACCTAACGAAACCACGCCCCTCCCAAAAAAAACCAAGCAAAGAGAGAAGCGCTGCTAAAGGACAGCCGCAGACCCCGTGAAGGGGCTGGGATTTCGCTTCCAGCCGCGACCCGGCCCCGCCGCCTCCCTCCCTCCATCCTCTTCCTCCCTCCATCCTCTTCCTCCCTCCTCTTCCTCCCTCCTTCCCTCCTCTTCCTCCCTCCCGCCTCCCAGCCGCCCTCCCGCCGGACTACACTTCCCAGCGTGCCTCGCGCGCACCTGCAGCTCGCCGCGCCGCGCCCCTGCCGCGGTGCCCGCCGGGAGTTGTAGTTCGCGCGCCGCTGCGCCGCGGCCGGAGCAGCGCCGGGAGGCCGCGCGCTGCCCGGGCGGCCCCGGGCATGGCGGAGGCGGCTCCGTGAGGGGTGAGCGGCGGTGGCGGTGGCGGCGGGACGGGCTCGGCTCTCCGCGGTGGTGGCTCGGGCGCGGCCGTGTCGTGTGGGGCCGGGAGTCGCCGAGCCCTTTGCTTCCCGCGGTGCGTGTGGGCTCCCGCTCGGCTGCGAGCCCTGCGGGGCGAAGCGTTCCGTCCTTGCTGCAGGACTAAGGAATAATCTGGCTTTTTTGGGTTTTTTTGGAACCGTTTTCCGAGTATCGTTTCTAACTGCCCTCGGATGTGTTCGCAGCGCCTCAGCAATGACCTCCGGCCGCTGCTCGCCCTCCTCCTCCTTCCGTGTGGCTTTCGCTGAGTGCCGCCGCTCCGGGCTCCTGCAAGGTACTCGTGAAACCCAAAGAACTCGCAGTAATAGATCATTTATCCTATAATTGTCCCACTGAGGCTTCGTTCATCCTTCCCGCTGCGGTCTGACCGGCAGCTGGCGTTGCTTTCTGGTGTTTTTGCAAACAAATGTCGGGGTTTTGGGGTGTTTTGTCCGGCTCAGGGTTGGGGTTCAGTGTCCTGCCGCTCCCTGAGGGAACAGCATCCTCCTGATGTGTGTCTAAACATCCTCATACACCGGGTTAAAACCATTCTGTTTGGTAATTTGATATTAAATTTGCTTTAATATTCCCTGGGACCTTCTCCTGGTGCTGCTCCATCAATGTCGGTGGAGCTCTTACTGATTATTTCCTACATTAATAGGAAGAACTTGTGTTTTCCCCATGAAAAAATTATACCTGGTTTGTGTTTGCATTTTTGGAAGCACTTTTTTGCATCTTTAGCATAACGTCAGAGAAGAAATGTACCAGGAGGAAAGATAAACGTGCTGTGGTGACCATTGTCTTTGAAAAGAAATTATGTAAATGAGAAAGAAGCTAATTTTCATCTTCAGGCCCTTTCCGAACTGTAGAGTTTGTTTCATTTCTAATTTTAGCCAGAGGAAACTTTCATAGGAGCTGTTTTTTAAGGCAATCAGCAGTGTCTGGATAAGTGGCTGCTGCTGATGGATCATGTGAGGGAAGACAGGACCAAACACTCCTCCTGGAAAAGTTTATCTTACCGCTTTGATGTCTGATGGTCCAGAGCTAGTGATACAATCAGACTTTCCTTTGTTTTCCTGAGGAAAAAAAGGCAGGAAGTTAAAACCCAGCTTGAAATTCTCCTTTTTTTCCTTCCCCAGCTTAACACAAGGCTAATCACAGCAGGGATGTAGACACTTGTTATTTTCACTAGGAAAACATCAGCCTTCCCTCATGTTCCTGAGTTGGCATTGCTTCTTTTTCTGTCAAAAAGCAGATTTTTATGAAATAATATGAGGGAATAGTGAGAAGATGTGCTAGGGGTAGTTTGGGCAGCAGATTGCAGATCCCAAAAAGTGGATCTGTGTGATCCTCAGGCTCGGGTGATGCTGCCACCCTGACATCTTCACCCTCTCCTTAATTACACTGTCAGTGATTGAGTTTACTTAGAATTCCTTCCCAGTGGAGAGAAGTGACCCAGTTAAGTCTTTGTTCTCCTTTTGATCCCTGTTCCATGGAGAATAGCACATGGAAAGGTAAATACAGTTCTAGAGACTCCTTTTAAAGCAAGGAGTTTTTTCCTGGCTCAAGTTTATTAATTAAATGAGGAAGTTCACTGTTGCTCATGTCAGCTGGTGCTGTCAGAACTTAGATAGAAATTCTGTGAAGGTTGCAGTGATGTCCCACTGTTGATCAACTTTTGATGTCCCACAAGCGCTGCTTTTGAAGCAGGAGATCTTAATATTTCATCTCTCTGTGCAAGGGTTTGGGCCACCAAATACCATCAAGAAACTTTCTGTGTCAGGTATTTCAAGGTGACCCACTGACAGAACACACCTGGTGAAGGAAGTTCTGTTAATTAATAGCAAACTTCCAGTTACAAATGTGGCAGCTGGACTGTGAAGGGGGCTCTGTCCCATTTTCCCAGATTTCTTAGAAACAGGGATAAAGGCATTACCAATTACCTATTTATTTATTACCAATTACTACCAGTTCATGTTGTTTTGAAGGTGAAATCTGTCCTATCTTGCAGCACAGAAAGATCCAGTAAAGATGCATTTCCATGGAGAATTTATCAGGAATTTTTACCAAATTAGCATGCACCGTGCTGGATTTTAACACAAAAAGTGCTTTTTGTTTTCTCTTCAGCCAAAAAGAACAGCATCTTTACTATTCTGCATCAGAGCTCTCCACCTCACTGCTGATAAAATGAGTGTGCTCGTGTGCCAGCACAGGTTTTGTGCTCTGGAGCAGTTTGTGGTACAAGGCAGAGCTGCTGGAGAACATTATCTTTTATTTAGCTTTGTGTAGCGCTTTTATTGGTGTATATTTGGAATTAAATTATTTTATTACTTATTCATGGGACACGGGATTGCTTCTCAGTGCCTGGTGGTGGAGGGTTCTGTGAGTTTATTGCTGTTTCTGGCCATGTTGGGCTTAAGTGCCTGAGTGGGGGATGCTGAGTGTTTGTATTTTGGTTTTTGCAGCAGCAGAACTGAAAGCCTCACAAGACAGCGATGGCTTTTTCTCTGGAATTTGAATATGGAGGCCACGGGGACAGATGAAGTAGAAAAGATCAAATCAAAGTTTATGTCTGCATGGCACAACATGAAGTACAGTAAGTGGAGCAGAGCGTGGTGAGATCTGTCCTCATTAAAAGGAATGGAGTGTTTCTTGTTGACATGAATGGAATCATAACTAATTAATACCACAGATGCAATATGGCCCTTGGAACAATTTTTCTTTGAGGTTATAAATTAGCCCCACTAAAAAAACTACCTTAGCTTTTCATTTTTTCAAATAAATCTTGCATAATTTCATTTTAAATTACTTATTTTAGAAACAGTAAATATATTCTGTAAATTACTCCATATTTGCATAGGTTTTTGAACAGGGGTAATATGGAATCATCTGCACAAAGATTTATTTTGTTTCTAAATGTACTTTTATGGAAAAAAATAGGACGGTGTGTGAGATACGAACTCCACTGAAGAATCTACCCTTGAGTAACATTTTTCCACAGCTGAACATCAGTAATTAGTTTATGAGCAACCAGATTTTCAAGTGTGCCCTTTACTAATCTGTCCTTGATTTTTCTGCTTTCCCTTTAGGACTGAAGTTGCTCAGATTTACCACCAGATTTTTTTGATAAACTTAATTAATCATTACTGAGTTTTGGAGATGTCTGAGAAGATGAAAAGATACTTTTTATTTCCTGCTTTCTTTAAGGCTGTCACATGGTTGAAAGGGTATAGTAGCCATTGCACCTTTTATGGGATTTTTTATGAGACCAAAACCCAACATCAATGCTTTTTCTGTTTTTATTCCCCTTTCAAGGGTTGCCTTTGGCTTAACCAGATGCTGTTAGCATTTCCTTTTGGAAAGTTCAGTAGAAAATCTGTATTTGTTTTGCATCTGTTCTAGGCTGGGTGTTGAAAACAAAAACTTACTTCAGTAGGAACTCTCCAGTTTTTCTGCTGGGAAAATGTTACCACTTCAAAACTGAGGGTGAGTACAGAGCTCTTCACTCATTCCAGTCTTCCTCAGCAGGAATAAGGTATTTTTAATCTTCTGGAAAGACTGGATTTAACAACTACCAAATCCAAAATGTAAATATGAAGAGCTTAGAAAATACTCATTTAAATGTCAACCTCTAATGCAGCCCATCCTAACCTGCTTTATTCAGATTTTACACCAAAACCTTGTGCTTTCTTTAAAAATTTGTGCTGTAATTTGCACTTCATGTACCATCAGCTGGAAATTTTCTTTCTAAAAACTCCTGATGGGTCACTACACCAACACCTTTGTTATCACTTTCCAGTGGGCAGTTTTTAAGTCTCTCTCTTTGTTTGACCATTCACAGTTGGGTGAATTAAGCACTTCCTTGCAGGTCAGTGATTCCACTGGCACAGTGGTGGCTGCATGCTTCTTTTGATTTTTCCTTTTTTTTTTTTTTTTAATCTGGCACATTCCTGTTATGTTTGCCTTCCAGTTTTCCTTTGTTGTGCTTGAGGCAATTGTGAATTTTTGTTAATTTGTTTTTCTACTAAATTTGATATTTGTGACTTACTCTCTAATAATAGAAGTGCCATAACAAATTAATTAGAGCTTAAACTGTGCTTTGTCTTGCAGAATCTGGGGAGCTCTCTACAGATGGGTCCAATTTTGATAAAATCAGCACTGAGATTTCAGGGAACGTCGAGGAGTTCCGCAAAGATTTCATTTCTAGGATCTGGCTGACCTACAGAGAGGAATTCCCTCAGATCAAGGGCTCTGCTTTAACCACAGACTGTGGCTGGGGCTGCACGCTCAGGACGGGGCAGATGCTGCTGGCTCAGGGTCTGATGCTTCATTTCCTTGGGAGAGGTGAGTTAGGAGAGAAGATCTGTGTTTGCATAAGCACAGGCATTCTGTAGAGACCAAAATGACCCTTTTTTATCCCAAATCTGAAGGGCCAGCTGGTTTTGGTTGGGTTCTCCTCATTCCTGTTGGAATTGTGTCCCATTGCACAGGGACTGGGCTGTCCTGCCCTTCCATTTCTGAGAACCAGAGTGTGCCAAAGCAAACTTCTCTGTTTTCCGAGTTCCCAATATGCAAGTGTGAGTTAATACATCACAAAAGTATGATCTCTCTGTCTGGGTATTCTTACCCATGTACATGCCCAGTTCTCTGGAAATTTGATTGTTTCTTGAACTCCAGGAGTTCAAGAAACAAGGTAGGAGTGAGTTCCCCAGCCCATAGCTGTGGGCTATTGCAGAAGTGATGTTCTTTCATCAGTTCTAAAGTTTCCATTATTGAATTTCTTCTGGTGTTAATATATTGAGTTCCTAGAAGGATTCTAATCTAACTTCAATACATCATTCTCTGTGGAAATGTTCACTGTGTCATTCCTTCCCTTCCCTCCATGTACTTAGAGAGGAACTTCCCTTTTTTCCTTACCATTGTCTGTCTCAAAGTCCTCCCTCAGTCACAGCCAGCTGAAGCTTTAGGAGCCGTGGGACACTTTCTGCTGTCATGGGCTGAGTGTCCATGTCCTCCTCATTCTTCCAGGCTGAGCCATGTCCTGCAGAGAGGTATTTTAGGTTGTCAGAGTTAAACATCTTTTCTTTCCATCCCATTCCCAGTCCCTTTCATAACAATCATCCATTGCTTGCTGCAGAATGAGCCAAGGCAGGGGCCTGAAGCCGCCCGGGGGGAGGGTTGAGAACACAGAGCATTGTTCCCTCTGCCATTTGTGGGATCTCAGGAACACTTCAGCACAAGATCCTTCTCAAAGCCTGTTGTGATCACACTTTGCCCTTGCTGTGCAGCTCTGATGTAACTGGGAGCAAGGTCCCAGCCCAGCTGCACACAAAGTCTCCGTTCCCAGCAGCGCCAGGACTGAGCTCCGGGATTGGCTCGGTGAATGTGCCTGTGCCTATAGCTATAGATATTTAACTCTAAAACATTCATTATCTCTTTCAACTGACTGCACATATCAAAAAGTGTGTAAATACCCGTGCTGAGAACACTAATCCCTTAAATATCACTCTTCTTATACATACATTTAGAAGAAATTCAAGACCTGCCCAGAAGACTCCCTGTGAGCAGGAGCGTGTAATGGCTCATTTGGAAGTAACCCCAAACAAAAAAGCCTCTGGTTTATATCTTTAAAATCCATGGTTCCAAAGAATTCCTTGCATGTCCCCCTTGTATCCTAATTTGGAAGATGATGGGGTGATTCCAGAGTGCTCTTGTTCCTGTGGCAATCCAAATCCACAGAATGATGGGGTAGGGATGGTCTTTCTGGGCTGCTTTGCTTCTCACTTGCTCTTCTGACAGCTGGTGAATTATCTTTTGAAAAGCTTTTTATGAGGTCTGGGCACCTTTGGAAACATATTTAGGTGTTTACAGGAAGTTTTTCATGGCTGTTTACTCTTTTCCCAGAGATGTTTTCGTTCTTGTTTAATGGTGTTGTTTCTGTTAGGAAGCAAAACTTGCCTGAAGTTTCTAGCTGCGATATTTACACTTCCACTGCCATGTGGAAGGTTCCAGGTATTGCTGAATGTTGTCGTGAATGAGTTTTGGTTTTAAATTTGAAGTTTTACTTTGAAATGCCTGTGCTTGAGACACTGACTGGAGTGTGAAGCTGAGAGCCCAGAGCAGCAGGGCCTGTGAGGATGTTTCACTGAGCTGGCTCTGTGTTGGAAGTATTTGCTGGAATTGTGGGAGAATTCCAGGCACCTTCCCTGGGCCTGCTGAACCCCATTCTTAGGAGGAATGCTGTGTGAGATGCATCATCCATAGGGAAACCTTCAGCTGGAAAAGCAGACTGAAGACACTGAATGATATTTAAACAAGTTTTCCTTGTAATCTAAAAGAATTAATGAATTTGGTGAATAAAAAAATCCTGCCTGCCTGCTTGATCTCCTTTCTGCTCTCCTTTCTGCTCTCCTTTCTGCTCTCCTTTTTCTGCTGATTTCCTTTGCCATTTTTGCCAGGAAGAAATGTTTGCTTTTACATCAATAATTCCTCAGGTCTGCCTGTTTTTTTAATAATTGAAAAATAAGAACAACTAAGAGCTTTTGAAACTTCTTGTTTGATGCAGATAAAAGGTTTTTGGATAGTATTGAAGCAACATTCATGTATTTAATGTATAAGAGAGTTCTAATGTGTAATCAGGTATATCTTGTTAATTCAGATGACTGGGATGGTCACAAAAAATCAAAGCACATCCTGCTCTTCTAGAATTCTTTGTTCACCTGTTAACAGCGACATAGAAAACACACATTATGGCTTTAATGAGCATGGGGGACAAAGGCAAATAATAAACTGGCAAATAATTAACATTGATTAATAATGAAATAAGGATTCTGGGGCAAATAAAAAATATACCCACTGCAGCAACAAGGTAAGGTTTATTTTTAATATAATGGAGGACTGCTTTCTGAAAAAAAGAATACATGACATGGTAAGCTGGCACAGCTTGAAACAGAACTCAACAAACCAGAACTTCTCTCCTTAAGCCTTATGTTTTACATGTACACTCATGTTTTGACTCGGAAGTCCTCTCCTAATTTTGAGGAGTTCAGTTGGCATACAGACCTACCCTACTACAAGAGCTCCTTGCAGAACACTTGGGAGAGTGAAACTTTATTGTGCCAGTTGCAGCTCAACATCAATTATAAAATTATAGTATAAATATATATTTATATATATATCTATAAAAGCACTTTGCTTTTCTGCCAGAAAAGGCATGCTAAAGTGGTATTTCCCTTTCCCTGCTGCAGCCTGGGTGTGGCCAGAAGCCCTGGACATGGAGAGCTGTGACTGGGAGTCCTGGACCAGCAGCACCGTCAGGAAGCTCACGGCCTCCTTGGAGGCGTCGCTGACGGCCGAGAGGGACCCCAAGGTGCTGGCCCGGCCCCCTGCCAGGAGGGACTGGGATGGCACCGAGAAGAGGAATGAAGTTTATCACAGGAAAATCATCTCCTGGTTTGGTGACTCCCCTCTGGCAGCCTTTGGGCTGCACCAGCTGATAGAGTACGGGAAGAAGTCCGGGAAGATGGCGGGGGATTGGTACGGGCCCGCCGTGGTCGCACACATTTTGAGGTAAAACGCCCTCAGTTCTCTGTTCCTTTCCTTTGGAAATCACAGAGAGGCATTTCTGAGTGTCCTGAGATTGCTTCAGCCTAACTGAGCAGCAAACTGTTCATTATTGGCTTTGTAAAACACCCATATCAGGAGCAGTTTCAGAGCTTTTTCATGGGCAGGAAGGGGAATAGCAGCGGGTGCAGGAACTGAATGCTGAGCTTTTGTCGATGTTACTTCAGGAAAAAAACACCACATTCCCGTTTTCTTGTAGAATCCCAAGTATTTCTCCCAAACCCTTTTAAGTAGAGCTGCATTTAGTGAAATGTTCTAAAAACTAACCACTCTTTCAACCTTGGAACATGCATAACATTAGAGATTTTTTTTTTATGCTGTAACCTGGGGGCTGTAATGTACTGATAGTGTAATGAAATGTCAGAGCTAAAATTGATGTTTTCAGCATTTCTTTGCACACATCAAATTCTTGTGAAACTGTAAATGTATGGGACTATTAATATTATAATTATATCCCAGTAAAAGTAAAGGGTCTGTGACATTCAGCATGGTTAAAAAAAAAAAGTCGAAAGTCAAATTTCTTCATACTGTGAACCTTGATATCCAATTCTTTGAATGTTTTGGGGTTTTTTGTACTCCTATATGTTTATCTTTTTGGTGGAATCCAGTTTGCCTATAAACCGAATCACTAATAAATCATTTAAGCAGCAGAAGGCAAAGTTCATGCATTTATATATTTTTATCTATAAATTGAAGAATTTGATATTTAGTGTAAATGTTATGTTAATCTGAGGTGCAGCTGTACTGAAGTAATCGGGTGTGCATCCATGCAAATGCAAACAGGGATGCAGGAGTTTAGCATTTTTAATGTGTTATATTCTACTTTTTTATCATGGTGGAAGCAGCCAGCATTTTTTCCTTGCTTTAATAAATTATCTATTAAATTATTTGTCTCCCTCATGGGAACAGGGGGGTTTGGTGTGGAGTTACACTCACCAAAACCCCAGGGGTGTTTTCCAGCCCTGCAGAGGTTTCCTTTCCTGGATATGTACAGCTCCCTGATAACTTGGAAATGACTGCATTAAACCATTCCTTAAAATATAGTGGGGAATAAAGGGATAGTGACCATTTAATGCAGGTGTGTGTTTGACCCCAAAGGTAGATCCTGGATTTTGAACAAATGTTCAAAATCTTTCTTTGCAAATGTTGTCCCTGAGAGATGACCAGGGTTCTGACTATCAACATGTATTTTCTTTTTAGTTTTTAGGTCTGTTTTTCGTAGTTTTTTGAGGATAGTCTAATATTGTAATTATCTTTTTGAAAGTTTTGGTGAAACTTTTTATTTCCAGGTGCTAATGTGTAGCTTGTTATATGAACTGAGGTCAAATAAAGAGATCTAATGAGTTGAAAATAGTATTTTTGTCAGCAAACTTAGCCTTTATCATCAATATACATGACAGAAAATGGTTATAAACAGAAAGCAATAAAGTAATAAATATTAATTTCAATGTAAGTTATTGTGCAATTTGGGGCCTTTTTTTGTGAGTTTCATTGTTTCTTCTAAATAGCCAGACATTGTCTTCTTGGCTTGGGAAAAACGTGGTGCTAAGGCACCCATGGAAGCTACAGGTTGGATCTTCGTATCCAGTGTTTAAAAACAAATAAAAAATCCCACCCCACCACCTGTGTTTATCAGGAAGGGAAGGTGTCTTGAATTAAACAAAATAACCCCTATAAAAACCAGCAAAAAAAAAAAAACCCAAAATCAACTTGTTTCTAAAAAACCAACATAATTTGTTTTGGTTATTTTTAATTTTTTTTTAAATTAATGGTAAGTTACATAGCTTTCTGTTTGTACGTAGAAAAGCTGTTGAAGAAGCAAGAGACCCTGAGCTGCAAGGAGTAACAGTCTATGTTGCTCAGGATTGTACAGGTAACTGTGATTTTGTAGATTTTTTGCAGACATTTTAAATGCTTTTTATGCTTTTCAGTTAGCACTTAACAATAGAGCTTTAAAGGGAAAAAAAGTCCCTATGAGGTGGATCCACAAAATTGAGATTATGTAGGCAAAGGGGCTCTTGGTATGTGCAGATTGTTCATTTGGTATTTTACTGTGGAATTCCAAATCAGCAAATCAAATATTGCCTCTTCTCCTTTTACATGTAGATGTTTCTGTTAGTTGGAAGCTTTCAGGTTTTAATTATTCCTTTTAGAAGTTTATATGCAGCAATAAATATTTATTGGCTTTCTCCTAACCAACCTCTTCTGCATTTCCTTGGCATTGCAACTCAGCAGCAGCAGCAGCAATTCCCATTCCACAAAATACTGCTGGGAATGAGGAGGCTCTGGACTGGTTCTGAGTCACCTGGGTGCTGAGTTTTATTTTTTTTCTTTGTTAAAGTTGACATTAAATGTGTGGGATGTTTTTTTTGGTTGGATTTAGATGATTATTAGTTCTTACTTCTATTGCAGTCTTATAAATTGTGAATTCTATAGTACTTTAACAATTTAAAAATGGAGTTTTATCTCTCTTTTTAGAAGTTTTTTAAGGATAAACTTTAAAATAATTAAGAAATTATACTTAAATTATTTTTACTTTAAACTTAATAACTAACTACCCATGGCTTTAATGTGGACTTTATCTAATTACACAATATTACTTAAACTGATGAAAAAGAACGTGAAGAAGAAGGACTAGATACTGTTCTAAAACCTCTATCTTGCTATATATATATTATTATATTCTAGAACTTTAAGTTTTTCACCATGTGATTACACATTTCTATTTAAACTCCACACCCATAATAACCTCTGTTCTGTCATGTAATTTTGGAAGCTTTCTCTACGGCCTCAGGTCAAATGCAGTGTTCTCTTGGGGGTCGGTGCCTGTCAGCACAGAAAGTGTAAAATTCTCAGTGACCAGGGCTGTGTTTTGGGAGGACAGCAGGCTTTGAAGGGCTGCAGTGTAGTTTGTCCCACTGTGATGCCACGCTGGGGGTGTGTGTGTAAAACCTGGGGGTTCAGTTTGAAATGTTAACATTTCTGTGTGTCTCAGTCTACAGCTCGGATGTCATTGACAGGCAGTGCTCCTTGGTGGATTCTGGAAAAGCAGGCACAAAAGCTGTCATTATCCTGGTTCCTGTGAGGCTCGGTGGGGAGAGAACAAACACAGACTACCTGGAGTTTGTAAAGGTATGAAATGAGAGTTCAATCATTTTTCAAAGAGCAGCACAAGGGGATATGAAAAACAACTTCACGAGGGTGATTCTCCCCATTAAATATGTGGTGGAGATTTTACAGTTGAAGGTTGTAAAGTTTGACTTTACAGGTTTGAAATTTCCCTATTACAAGATCAGACATAATTGCAGAGCACATGATGTCCCTTGGTAAAGCAGTGATAACTGTCCTGCTCCTTCAGCAGCCACCTGAAAAGACATTAATGCAGTGCCTCGAATTACAAATGGTAATTTAATCTAGCAGGACTCTAATAGCATATGTAACTAAGGATCAGGCAGCATTTTAAAATATAAATACACTCCATTCCTTACTCTGTTTCTTATTTTCTTAATTAAGAAAATTGTTCAAATGGTTTAAAGTTGATGCCTGTCTGTTCTTCCGATTTTCTTTTGTCTCTTTGTTCCCATGGAATAATTTTATATTTTTATTCACTACTTTAGTTGTTTTTTCCCTGTGATGAATCTTTCTTAGGATGGTAATGCAAGAGTAGCAAACAGTTACCACAGTAAAAATGAGCTGCAAAAAAGAAAAGCTCAAGAAGGCAGAGGGGGGAAGGTCTGTGCTGTGGTTTTGTCAGCAGAGGTTCTGCAGGTACCTGAGGATGTATTGGAATCTTGCCTCTTGCTCCTCCTTGCTGCTTTTATTTAATTTTCCATGCTGCTCTTTATCTGTCTTTAAATTTTGGGTTCATTTTTCATTCACCCCAGTGTAGGAGCACAGACAAAGGCTGAGAGTCTATACCATGATTTATTTTGTGGCTGTCTCTTCACTGTAACATTTCAGGAAAACATTTTGATTTTTACTGGCACGGGAGGACAGACCGGTGAAGGCCTTTAAGTTATGAACTTAAATTGTTATTAAATTCTTCCTTGATTATTTTCCTTGTGTTTTCAGACAGTTGGTTTTGGAAAGTTTTAGTTTTCAGCTGGCTCCAGTGAATGATTCCTGCTGCTGCCTTGCCAAGGCTGTTGCAGCCTGATGGAGGCTGAGATAAGAGGGCTCTCAATTGCCTGAATCAGTCACTCCAGTGTCTGCCCTGACTGTTCCCAAGAAGTGACCACATTTCTTGGAGTCTGGCTTTAAGTTAAAAATGCAGATTTTAGAATGTAGCACAAGAGGTAATTTCTACAAAGGATTTTATATTTATGGGTGAAAATTGATAAATTTTTTATAATTCACTTTTACAAGAAGCTTGCCATAGATTAAACAGTTATCCATTACTCTGAGCAGCTTTGCTCCCTCTCTGTTCTGCCCTCCTTGGCTCTTGGAGCCTTTGCCTCTGATCTGCCTGAATGGTCTGTGATGCTCAAAGAATTTGCTAAGGAAACCTTCTCATTTATATTTTAAAAATGTGTTCTAAGGAAACCTTCTTGTTCGCATTTTAAATAAGCATCACTTCCCTGACCTGTGTGAACCATGCTGGATTTGACTCTGTAGCATCTTGGGGAAGGTTTTTAAGTGACTTTAACCTTGTCTAAGCAGGGAAGATTTTACCTTGAGAAGCCTTGGTATTAGTAGTCTGACAATATCAATCTTTTTGTTGAGAGAAAAGCTCCCTGCTTACACTGAGTAATGTCCCTTCCCAAAAGTTCTGCCTTCAGAAGGTTCTGTTCCTCTGTCCTCCCAGGCCATCTCCAGGGAGATTTATGGGGCCTGTCTGTTGTGTGTTTCTCTCTCCTCCCTGGATGTGGGGCAGCTGTTTTTGGAGCTGGACCTTGTAATAAATTGCTCTTAACTTCAGCTGGCATTTCTGCCCAGGATGGAAAAGTTGATGCTCTGGCCAGGCTTGGCCATTTGAGTGCAAAAAGAAGAGAGGGCACGGGATGTAAATGTGTGTGAAAGCTGGAAATCTCAATACTTTGGGATATTTGGACAAAGGAACTGATATTTTGTCTCCTCCTCAAAAACATGTGTGAGTATCTCATAGGAAGGGAGGACTTTCTCTGGAATATCTGCTGGTGTGGTTTCACTTTGGCCAGGCCCCAGGAAATCAAGGAGTCAATCTTTAAAAAACCCCAAAATTATTTGTCTAAAAGAGCAAAGAGCAAATATTTTATTTCAGTTTAATACTTTGGTTAATCTTAATGATTCCTTGTTCCTGTTTTAGGGAATTTTAAGCCTGGAGTACTGTGTTGGCATTATTGGTGGCAAACCCAAGCAATCCTATTACTTTGCAGGATTCCAAGGTTAGTGTTTGAATGTGTTATGTCTCCTCAGTATGTTTTTTCTCTCAGACTTAGGAAGTTAATATTGAAGCAGTGGGAAATAGCGTGATTAAAATAGTAAAATGAGCACCTTATTAATTCATCACATCTCCCCAAGTCCAGCCATTTGTCATTTACCCCACGGAGTAATTGGATTCTGTAAAATGTACATTTAATTTCCCTTGTTGCATAAACAAGGCATAATTTATCTGTTTCAGCAAACTTGAGGAGCATTTGCTGTTCCTGCCTGGCAGTTCTTATTTAGGTATTTACTCTCTCCTGCTTTAAGTGGTGTTAGTTGATGCCTAAATGACAAGCAATATATTCTTGCTGTCAGGATGAAGCAGGGCGATACATTTTTCATATGCAAACTCCAGAATATAATTGTGTGTTTGTAAAAGTAATTTTATCACCAAAAATTAAATGACAGTTTCATCACTTTATAAAAATTCTGCTTATACAAGCATATTTGATTATGCAAAAGTTAATCTGTCCTGCAAAAACCTATGCTTCAGTCAGTGAGTATCAGCCTGGCAAGCAGTTACTCACTGGCTTTTTTTCCAGCTGTTCTGCATAGAAATTGGATTGTAAGCAGTGTAATAATAAGGTGTTTTTTGAATTACTTGTCTTCTGTTTTGTCCTTGCAGATGACAGTTTGATTTACATGGATCCTCATTACTGCCAATCTTTTGTAGATGTCAGCATAAAGGATTTCCCTCTTGAGGTACTATGGATATAGAGCTGGCACTGTTTTCTTCCCATATGAATCAAACACTAATTATTTAGAGCTGTTCTAGCTAGCTGCAGCTTTATGGTTTTACAGTTACATGTTATTTATCAGTGTCCTGCCCTTCTTTATAGGCCTATAATCAACAAAAATGACCAGAGGTTAAATCTCAATATGGAGGTTTAATTTTTACTTCATTAATCTTCATCTGTTTTCTTTTTAATGATCATAAAATCTCCAAAATAGATGATCACTTCATTTAAGTAATTTTCCATCAAAGAAAATAGATTATATTTGTAGATCTTAAACCTGTTTGGATTTGGGGTTGACAGTTTGTCTTTTTGGTCATTTTATTTATTTATTTATTTAAATTCAAATTGCAACCAACATCAGGGAGAATTCCTGTGGTATTCAATAGTAGGAGCCTGGAAATTCCTGGAGCTAAAGGAGGTGATTAGAGAACTCAATTTACAGCTACCCTGGGAAAACATTGTCAGCTGCAAGGAATTGCTCAGTGGCCTCAGCACTCAGAGTCACATCCTCAGGGCCATCCACACAAACTCTCCTTGGTCTTGTGTCCACCTTCAGGTGAACTTCAGCAGCTCTTGGCTCAGCCTGAGGGGGCATCCACAGCCAGAGCAGAGCTGGAACTAAATCCCATCAAATGGTGTTCAGGAGAACTATTCACATAGAAATAAAAAATCCCAGAGGACCTACACAGGGCTGATGTCAAGTCATTAAAGCAAACACTTGATATTTGTCATTATTTATGCTTCACAAAATGCTTGAGTTAGCATGTTACATAATATAGAAGTGGAAGATTCTCTAGGAAATGAGAAGGTTCTGAATGAAGCAAAGGAACACAGCAGCAAAATGGGCCAGCAAATATCCCAGCCAGGAGGTTTGGCTGTGTTTGGAGATGCTTTAGGTTTGCCCTGTTTGAGATGTTTGGAGGAAGAGCTGGTGAGTGCCAGCTCTGCCTGGGGTGATTACCCAGATCCTTCCCCTTCATCCTCAGAACTGTTTTGCTCCAGTGCCTCTGAAGATTTTACAGTTTGGGAAAAACCAGACAAAAGGTGGGAAGAGCACAGAGCAGCAGAGCTGAAGTGAATTCCTTAAGGTCCTGCTGTGGCCTAGCTACAAAAACACATCTTTTGGGTTCTGTTCCTATGACTCAGCCTCAAAATTGTGCTGCAGACTGGCATTAATCTGAATTTCTAAATAGTACCAAGGTTTTAAGCTGTGTTTGGAAGGTATGCAAGCTGCCAGCTTGGCTTGATCTCATCCTAATGCTTTCCTGCAGACGGAAAATAGATTGCAATTTAATGCTTGGTGCATTTAATAGTATTATATCTTTGTCCAGAAATGTCAAAAGTAAACAGAAATTGCTTTCTTAGTGTGGATAGTTGCTTGTTAGATTTATCTGTAGGGAGTATTTTCAAAATTGACAAATTGTCCAGAATAAGTTGGAAATCAATCCACTCTGTATTGGCTTCCAGCATCCATTTGTTTGGAGGAATGGGGGAAAAGAAACCCTCCCCACTTCTCTTTGTTGTGCAGTGATTTGTGCAGCATTAAACCTCCTGCACAACTGTAGGGACAGGGTTGCTGCTGGAATGGGATGTGGAAGGCAGGGTTTGATTTTTTTAATGCATTTGATGACTCAGGAATTAAAATTAAAAATAGAATTGCTGTTTATAAAATTGGAACGGTGAGGAGAAGAAGCAGTGACTAAAATCAATCTTGCAGGAATAACCCTAATCATCTTTGTGGATATTTTTTAGCAGAGGTTTTACAGAAATACCTCTCGGGTTTGTAATCACCAGGAAAGAACAATATATTTTATTATGTAAAACTACTGCAGGGATGGTTACACTCGGATTTGGGAACCAGTGCTGTCTTCTGTGGATTGATTTTTGTGATTAGCAAAAAAAGGGATTTAATAGAGGGAGGATGATGGGTCATCCTCTGTGTTAGAGGCAGAGTAGGGGGGACTGGCTCGCTCTGAGAGCAAGTGAAGAAATAATTGCAATTATTGGACAGAGCTTCACCACAACTGCAGTTCCTGTAATAAATAACCACAGAATCAGGGTAGATGGCATATACTTATTTTTTTCTCTCATAAATTGAGTGGGGAGCATGGGGAAAGGGGTTTTGTGTTTGTTCTGTCTTACAGCAGGGCTGCTGAAAGTATCAGCTCACAGCACTGGCAGGGCAGCATCTGTCAGGGAAAGAGATTTCACGTGAGGAAAAACCCATTTGTAAAGCAGGGCATGTTTGGTTTTTCCCTGCTTATGGATCATTTTAATATGGTTTTGCTTTTGTGTGTTTTGTGCTTTTTTGAACCCATTTCATTTACTGAAGGAAAATGCATGAGGTTGGTTTATTCCATTATGTCTCTTTTATAGAGGCTGGGGAGGGAAGGGGCACTGGGCAGTGGTAGTAAAGCAGTAAGATAGTGCAAAAGCTGTTACAAATTCAATTTGCAGAAGAGCATTCACCTTCTCTGCCTTGGGAATATTCATAAAGTATTGCTGGGAGCAGCAGAGCTTTGACAGATTCCAAACTAACCTGGTGTGTGGGGAAGTTGGGGAATGCAGCCTGAACTGCAGGAGGTTTTACACGGCTGGGGAAGGGTGGAATCACTTGAATATTTGTGGGGGGTGGGAGAAATCACTTCCAAAGTGTGTGCTGGGGTTTAATTCAGGTGGTGCAGGGCATTTTAAAGCTGTTGGGGGGGACAAAAGTAAACACTTGGATCTGTGTCATTCCCGACTGTAACCGTGTTTTGTGTTTTTCAATTGGGAAACTTGCAGTCATTCCACTGTCCTTCTCCCAAAAAGATGTCCTTCAAAAAGATGGATCCGAGCTGCACAATAGGATTTTACTGTAGGACTGTGCAGGACTTTGAGAAGGCTTCTGAAGAAATCACCAAGGTAGGTGCTGGAGTTCCCAAATCCAGAAGGGGCTGTGGGGAAGGGAATCAGCCTCGCCCTGCTGAGCAGCCCCGATTCTCTGTGTGGCACTGATCAGTGCTTTTCCCGTGCTGGGAAGGCAGCCCCGATTCTCTGTGTGGCACTGATCAGTGCTTTTCCCGTGCTGGGAAGGCAGCCCCGATTCTCTGTGTGGCACTGATCAGTGCTTTTCCCGTGCTGGGAAGGCGCTGGGTGGGAATTGCAGCGGATTTTGGGGTGTGGGGCCGGGCAGAGCCTGCCTGGGCTGCGGGAGCGGCTCCACGAGGTGGCACTCGCGAAGTGGCGATGTCCCCTCCAGCCCTGCGGCCCGGGGGAGGCTGGGGACGTGCTGGGGAGCAGCCCGGCCCTGGGCAGGCATGGGGGCAAGGGGAGTGTTGGGGCAAACCCGAATTATTCATTATTTCTCCCTAGCACGGGGGGATTTTCCTGGTGGGAAGCACAGGGCTCTGCTTGGAGCTCCACGGAGCAGGCGCCATCCAGCAAATCTGTCTGAGCCCATCCTTCCCCTGGATAAACTCTGCTCTGGATTCATTTAGGGCCAGTTGGAATCGAGTTTTTTTTCTCCTTAGTTATTCCAGGATGTGAGGGTATAAAATGCAGCATCATGGTTGTGTTCTGTGAGCTGCTCTGTGTTTGCTGGGTTCAGAAAATGCTCTGTGAAAAGGATGCAGCAGCAGATGGGCTCAATGTTAATATTCCAACCACAGCAGTTACCACAGCAGCACAAGGAATTAATGTTTGTCCAGCGCTTGGAATGTCCTGATAAGTGGTATTAGTACTGCAGCCAAAAAAGCATTTTTTTAAACTTTCTGCTGATTAAATTAAGTAGATACTGATTGATACTGAAGTTGTTTCTTTGGTTCTTACTTAGAGAGGTAGAAAATAGATTTAAAGAAGTAGGAGTTCCTAAGCAGCAGATCCATGGAAAGTTTAAATAGTGAAGTTTCTGTTCTTCATTGTTTTCCTGTTCTGTCACATAGAGTGTCATAACATAGTAAAAAAAAATCTCATTACAAAATCAGTTCCAGCAGAAGTTATCTTTTCCCTATTTCTGTTCTTTCAAGTTTGGGATTAATTAGTTTTTTCCTGACCGCAGTTTGTGAAAATACTCTTGACTGATCCAAATGTTGGAGTTATTATCCTGGTATTTTAGATAGAAGCTCTTTAATATTAGTGACATTGTTTTCTAGAAATACATTTCAGGCAGCGTCAGTTTGAAAAGAGGGGAAAGTTTGGATACAGGGACAATGTCAGAAACATTCTATCAATTGATCTTGCAATCCTTCCTTCACATCCTTTGTGTTTTCCTTCTCTTCCATTATTTTTCCCTTGGTTTGCAATTGTAGTGTGGTAACTCTTAAACCATAAAGCTCAGTGCATTCCTAGTGTGCCCTGTGTGGAGGCTGGACTGAAAAATCCAGGTTCTGCCTGCTTTTCTGGGTCATAAGAGGTGAGGATAAATATTATGGGCATTACATGTTTAGAGACAGATAAATTAGGGCATCAGAACTGAGGCCCAAGTGGAGTGATGGGTGCAACTCTACCCAAACCATATTCAGGGGTCCCTCAACCCCTGACTGTCATTTTTTGAATAGTTCTTACTGTTTAAAGATACCTGTGGAGATTTTTTTACTGTTTTAGACTGATTGTTCTCCTGAAATGGTGCTCAGTGATTTTTAGTTCTGCAGTGTTTATCTCTAGCCTGATGTAGTTCTGCAGCCACTGCAACACTGGGCTGGTTTTTCCCCAGCAGGTAAGATAAAGTAAAACAAATTAAAAAATAAATCAGTGGACAAAACACCCTGAAAGTCTGAAATGTCTTTCAGTATTTAGCGGGGTTTTACATGCTCTTAAAGGTGTTTTTCTGATCTGTTTCAGTATTTATCATTCCCCACACACCCCTTCTCCATGCTCAGTTTTCTTATTTATAAACATAGTTTTTGGGAACCCTGGTTCCCTGTGACTGTCACCAATCTGGTTTGAGCCACATGCTCCTGACTGCCTTATTTACATTGGTGAATGTGTTTGAACTTCTAATGAAAACACTGATTATTGCACCTGCTGATTCTACCATAAAAATCCTTCCCCCCTCCAGGATGCTCAGTTGCTGCAGAATTCACACCTGGGCTTGAGGAGACCCTAATGGCCATTAACGATTTTGTAGAGATCTTTGTCTTTTATCCTTTTATCTTTTTGTTGTACTCAGTCTGACAGCACATACAGGTGATCTGTGTGCTCTAAACCAGGGGTAGGCAGGAAATTAGCAGCTGCCTGTGAAAGGGAAGTAAATATCTAATAGGAGGAGGAAATGTTTCAATTGTGCAATGCTTTTGTCTAACGAGTTAATTAAAATAATGCATTTTTTACTTACTCATCATCAGGTGAATATCTGTGCTTGCTGTAATTCTTCATTTCCAAGTAATGTTTTATCTGGTTTGTTTTACATTTTAGATGCTGAAATCTTCATCCAAGGAGAAATATCCCCTGTTTACTTTTGTCAAGGGTCATTCTAGAGACTATGACTTTGCTTCCAGTCCACTCCATGAAGAAAATGACCTTTTCTCCGAGGATGAAAAGAAAAGACTGAAGAGATTTAGTACAGAGGAGTTTGTCTTGCTTTAAGGACGTTTTACACAAGAGCATCGGCAGCTGTCCGGGAGAACACTTGCCTTTTAACTCCAGAAATTGTACCCGAATTCTTTCCCCAAAAAGGCAAGCCTGTACTGAAATTGGTCTATTTTCATAAAGATGATAATGTTTTATATATTAAAAGTCTTCAGATGTCAGTTACTAATGTATGTGCTAATTATTTGTGCTGACTGCTGGCTGGAGGAGTGTCTGTGCCGTTGTGGTAGTGAAGGGAGATGCTGGGGTGGTTTTTCCAGGGGTGTGGAGACCTCCACGTTCCCGTCTGCAGCACAGCTGGAGTTGTCCCCTTCCCACAGGAACAAGTCCCAGTTCCCACAGGAACTGCCCCACCAGTTCTGCCACCCTGCCACCATCCAGAGCAGCTCCTCAGGAGAGGTGAGGTTGATGGATCAGGAGCCACTGGCGCTGGCAGTCCTGCAATAATTATATAGGCTGAATTGGGAGTTAAGATACTATTTAGCAGTATGACTTTCTAATGGTTTCTCATTAAGCTTGCTTTGGAGCCTTAATATGAGGAGTGAAGATAAAGTATTACCTTTCCCCACAATTTTTAAAGGTTATACTATTAATATTAACTGCAACCAATCAAAGCAGCTGGAGACAATTATTAGAAGAGAGCAGTGTTTGTTTCCTGTTTCAGCTACTGTAATGGTGAGGCTTCTCCTGCCAGAGCAGCTTTTAAATCAAAGCCAAGGGGGGTGGATGTGGAAAATTCTGGGCTGTGATGATTTTTTGTTTTGATACGTGTCGTTGCTGTACAAATGATTACTTGGTGGTGTGTGTTCTCAGATTGCAAACAAATGTACAGAAATAGTTTCATGTTTTAACAAAGTAAATACAATATTTAAAAAACCATATTAACGCTGCTTGGGAAATAAAAGAGGTATGAAAACATGAAGTGCTTGTGCCTTTTATATTAATATTAGATCCTCTAACAGTGAATATAATGCTGCATCTAAACCAATATTGTAAGGGGTGAATACTCTGTTTATTTGCAATAAAGGCAGATTTTATTGTTGTGTTGTAAACCAACTGTTACCTGGTCTAAGTGCTGCTCAGGCACAGAGGCACAAGTGTTACTTATCCAAATAATAAGCATCATGTTTGTTCATTAAAGCACCTTTTACTTTTATGAGCAAGAGGTGACTAATGGATAGATTTCAGGCAGAGCTACACCAGGTCTGTGTCAGAGCTGGAGGATACATTTGCATGTGTTAATTAATATTCAAAAAAGGCAAAATGTTAATTTGTTTTCAAGGAAAAAAACCCACACATTATTTATCTAAATCAGTAACCTCTGCACTGCTGCATCCTACTAATATTTGGTATAATATGACTTTTTACTAACAAGTGTGTGAGGATGTTTGGCTTGATCTTCATATTTTTCATTAATAGCCCAGAAGAGGGAGTAAACAACGTATTTATGGAATTTAGATGTCAAAATGAGGAGAATTGTGGATGGCAGAGCTAGAGGAGAGAAGATTGCTGGTGAGTGGAGCACAAGGAGGTGCAGCTTTAGCACAGGCCTGAGGGTGGTTCCTTTGGGTGGCTGTGGACAGGAAATCAGACACCGAGTTGTGCTTTTCTTTCACATTAAAGAAAAGCAAAGCAATCAGCTGCTGCATTAACAGCTCCTGTCACAGGGCAGGGTCTGGGCTGGTTCCACTGCTGCTCTCCTCTCTGCTTCCCACCAGGAAGGCATTACAGGCTCAGGAGGACAGGGAGAGCCTGCAGGAGCCTGCAGGGATGGATTGAAGAAGATTTCCCTTGGAGCTCGGTGGTTTTGTGGCTGTGCAGCTGAGGAAGCACAAATGTGCCATGGATGTGCACTGGGAAGGGGCAGAGGAGCTGAGGGAATGCGCCACGGGCAGGAGCCTTTGTGCCTCTGTGCTGAATTCCATCACTGACCCACCCAGTGCAGCACAGGAGCTCTGGCTGAGATGGGAACTGAAGGATGAATTTTTCTTCTTCCACAACTCCACCACCTGAATTCAGGTACCTTCAAAAAATCCCACGTGTACAGACCCACCTAAGCCTGTCGTGTCTGCAGAATGGAGCTGCTCTTCCAAAGGCCTTTGGCTCAGAATTCCTGGAATGGAAATACTCACAAGGAATTACAAGAGCTTTAGCACAGAAATGTTAAAAAGGAAAATGTGGGTCTGTCATTCCAACAGCAAACTTCCCTAGAAGGATGGAATGGTTTCTCTTCTCTCAGTCTTTTTCCAATTGGATAAAAAAATGTAGTGGCTGAAACATCTTTGAACTTATTAAATAGTGAAAGTTTTTCCCTTTCTGAGGGAAGGAAAAGTAGCAGTGCTAGAACAGCACCTGGGTTGTGGGTCCTTTAATTTGTAGCAAATCCCTTAGTTCACAAAGGCAGGATTTTCTTTAAAGCCTGCCACAAATAATTGTTAAAAATTCATGGCTATTTTCCGGGGTTTTCATCATGGTTTTTGTCCAAGGTTTAAGCACAGGCAAGTCCACAGAATGCCCTGGTGCACTTGTGTATAGGGGTGACACAAGTTAAATTACCAGGTTACTGGAAATTGATGTTTTTGGGTAACTACAGGGGACTTTAATTGGAAACTATGTTAATCGTGTAGTAATTTTCTTTACCTTGTCTGCATTAGCTGCTGAAAACCAGGCAATTAATTCGTGTCATCAGTGTTGCTGCTGCTGCCTTCAAACACGAAGCTGAGGAGCATCAGTTACTCACACACCCAGCAGTGGCCCAGGCTCTGGGAGACTTCCACAAATCTCCTGCCTGAGAGTCTGAACAGGAGTGCTGCAGCCTCGGAGCTTTGGCCCCTCACTCCCTTTCCTCTCCCTTCCTTCTGCCATTTCTTTTTTCCTTACAAGGAAAATTCTCTCTGCGTTTATAATATCTGGCATTAGCTTGGCACAAGCTCAGGCCTCTCAATGGAGACTCTGCCTTCTCTTTCCAGGATGGATATTTGCCTTGTTTTCCAAACCTTGGCTCTCCCTGGCACTGACCAAAGCCCAGCACATCCCAGAGCTCTGCTGAGGGTGCTGGTTCTGCCCTGGCAGCTCAGGGTGTAGGGTGAAGGATTTCTCTTCTCCAGCCCACCTTTTAAAACAGCCTCCAGGCACTCTGGACAAGGCAGCAGCTGATTTTTGCAGAAGCCCTGCACTGCTCTGGCTCCATGGGACACAAACCCTCAGGGGTGGCTCTTGGGAAGGGTCAGACTGGAAGGCTGGGTTTGCCCCGTGTTTACACCTGAAATGGGAATTTCTGGAGTGGTCCTTTAGGAGAGGAAATTATTTGCTGATGGTGGTAGAGACAGCTGATCTCAGAGGGAAACAGAGCCTGGAGAATTGCAGCCCGGCTTCCAGAAGGCCTGGAAATGGGAATAGACTCACACCATCACTAAGTTTGTTTCATAAAATACCAGAATCCCAGACTGGCCTGGGTTGGGAGGGACCTTCAAGCCCATCCAGTGCCCCCCTGCCATGGGCAGGGACACCTTCCACTGTCCCAGGCTGCTCCAAGCCCTATCCAGGGGTTTTGTGATGCCTCTCTTTAATGATTTCTTTTCCCTCTCACCAGTCCCCCACGCTTCAGCAGAGCTGGAAAACTGGGGCCAACCTGATTTTTCTTTTGTGCTTCTTTTTTTTTTCACCCCTCCAAAGCCAGAAGCTTTGTCAGTGTGGAGCAGTAGAGCAGTTCAGTTGTGCCCAATGGAGGCAGGGCAGGGATTTCCTGTTCCCTGCTAATTCCAGTTGGGAAATGGACTTGCTGCAGAGACCTGATTTATTTCCAGCCTTATTGACAATCTCTTAAAGGGGATGATGGAGTGAAAAGCAGCCATCAGTGAGTTATGAAGGGTCAATAATGCCACAAGTGAGCACAAACAGCAGGCTTGAAATCCAGCCCTCCCCACGTTCTGTTTCCACAACCATTTCATCCAAGGTCACTGGGCTTTTCCAGGGAGGCCAGAGCAGCAGGAGCCTCCAAGAGGAGGCCAGGTTATCCATGGCCCTTTCCCACCTTGGAGCTGATTATTATGGGGTGCATTCCCCCAGCCCTGCATGGGAAGCCTTGCAGCACAGGCAGGAACAATAACCAGCAGCATTTCAGCTCCTTACACGATCCCTAATCCCAGAGCCTCTGGCAGAATATTCCAGCAGCACAGGGACAGCCTCCCACCAGCTTGGTTAGGCCGTGCCAGAATCATATAAAAGGATTTTTAAACGCTGGTAACTTATTTGTATTGACAAAAAGGTGCAAAGAGGAATTTGAGGGCATCAGGATCCAGCCCTGGGCACTCACGGTTTGACCCTGAGGTTTGGTGTCTTCACAAGATGCTTCTGCTGCCTAATTGGATGAACTGAGCTCCATAAACAGTTCCCATCCCTGTTTGTAAGCAGTCCACGGGCAGCTGTAATTGTCTGAATCCACAGTGTGAATAGTAAAAAGAGCTTTACTTAATGACTGCAGCAGCCCTGCTCGAGTGAGAGCTCGCTGGTATTTATTCACAGCAGAATTCACGAGGCTTTTGTTTGCCATGAACACTCCTGCAAATAAAAACTTGCTCACTCTAATGTTTATGAATAAATGTGCTCGTAAATGCCATCAAAGCAAATCAGCAGGGTTTTATTTATGCAAGAAGATGCACAAATAAATGTTTGCTGTTTTCACCTAGCTCTGGTGGGTGTTTAGGCGTGTGTTAAAGCCAAGGCTTTGTGAGCTCTGCTCAGCACTCACACGTTATTCCTGCTCTCCATCTCCTCTATTCCTACACTCTGATCCTGCCTGTGAATCCCTGGGCTCCAAGGAAAGGTTGTTAAAGTCAATGTTTATGGGATTATCCACATCCAGCAGCTTCCTGGGTCAGTGGACGAGGTCATGGAAGGGACTGGGATAATTTTTGGCTGCCCAGGACTGGGAGGACAGGATGGAAAGGGGTTTGTGATCACAGCTTTGTGATGTTTGCATGGCACACAGCAGATAGCCAAACCTGCTTTTTTTGGCATGTGCTGGCTCCTGGAGCAGGGTGGGGGTTCTGTCTTACACAGAAGTGTGGGAGGTTATTACCATCCTGTCTCAATCAGTGCCCTAATTAAATATAGGAGAGGATTTTCTTTCTAAAATGTAAATGTCAAGCCTTGTTAAGGAAAATTAAAATGCACTGAAATGAATGTGATAGGAGCTGTGGAGGTGCTTAAGTAGAGTATCTGTATTTATTAGAAAGGGAACTAAAAAGGAAGTATTTTTGGAGCTCAATCCTTAAACTGGGCCATAAGGATTTTATGCAAATTTCCCTTCCAAATCTGCAGTTAGAGACTGGTTCCAGGGGTGAATTCTATGTCCCAGCCTCTAAAAGCTATGAAGCAATATCACCTGAGACTCACCTCTTTCCAGGATTTATCTGTACATATCCCTCCTCTTACCAGGATCTCTTGGGATTATGTGCTGTCCACACATCCTGCGAATTGGACTTGAAAATTCATGTAATTCCTTCCATTCCCTGTTCCCTGGAGTCCAGCAGAGCACAACAGTACAGAATTTAAACCTTCATTCAGCAATGGGATCATCCCCATTTACAAAGAACCCTCTTTAAAGCATTTTTCTACTCCAGCCCACAGTGAGCCTGGACCGGGAGCGTCAGTCAGAACCTGCAACACTCAACCCCAAAATCCTGGATAGGGATTAGGAAAATCAGAAAACTGAATTGTTTCAAGGGCTCATAGAGCAGAACTTCAGCTGATCTCAGAGAGGCTTCAGCTCTGGGCTGTGATCTCAGCCTGACCAAGGCCAAAACCTGAGGCGTGTTCACATCTGGAGCAGGTGAGTTGTGTCTCTGTGTGGCAGTGAGGACACACAAAATACAGCATTTGTTAATTTGAGCACAACAAGCTCATGCCTTTGCAAATACA